GCGACTCGGGCAATTTAAGCAACTTCCGAAAACACAAGTGATATTAATCCTTAATTTTACTCGGCCCCATGCGATTACCTATACATATCTATAAGCCCCGTGGTTTCTCTTTGGGCTTCCTCGCCACTTTTATTTGTTTTTGTGTGACTGTCTTGTTTTTATCGTTATTTGCATTTTGTGGTAAAATAAAATTCTTCCCTCTAGCTTCCACACATACCTCTCATAATGTTTAAGATAAGTGCTAGTACAGCGCCACTTGTCGGGGGTGGGGTCAGGTACATTTTCATGTTCGAGAGTTTACTCTGGTATGGCTCTCTTATAATCGACGAATAATTTCTTAAATCTCCTTCAGTCACGCTCCCATTGACTTCCTTCATGTCACGCAAAATGTCACCAGCGAGCGTTCCATTGTAGAAGGAGTCAGGATCGTCACGCACTCTTTCCAGAGTCTTTGCATACTTTACGTTCTTAATTTTAGCTCCTTTTTCAACCAGCGTTTTGTCATCAGTAAGGAAGAGCTCACTGAAATATCGAAAGAAGTAGTGATGTCATAAATATTGTTAAGGCTGACGGAGAAGGAAAAAAAAAACTGGTTCCCCTTCCTGCGAAAAATCAAACCTCATGCAGACGTCGCCATTTCATTGGCAACTAATTTTATATGGTCCCTCCTTTGTACTCTGTTTGCAACGACTGATTTCCCCTCCGTTCACACTAAAAACCATGTGATCCCCCCCCGAAAAAATCCTCTCCCTTCCCTTCCCAGGTGATAAGTAATGACTGGTTCGTCAGATTGTTTTCTTTGTAAGCACAGTGGTAGCAATGCACACAACAGGTTAACGTGTTATTTGTAGTCAGGGCTACTGTAACAATGATTGAGCATGCGATCTGCATTGGAGTCTGGTAATGAAATAGTCTGACCTCAATCCTGGGTCGTTTTCAATATCTTTTTTAATTCCTTTTGTCGTCTTCAGTGCATCATCCACAGCTTCAGTGACTTTAAATCCAGTTTTGGCCAAGTCGATGGCGGGTTGAACAAGGCGTTTCCACGGTAACCGACCATGTTGTTTCCAAGCCTCGTACATACCGCGCACCTCACCGGGAACAGCAATAGACAGACCACCTAAAGTGATAAAATGATCTGGTGGGTGTTTCTGTCTGATTTTCTTTTAACCGTTTAAAGATATCTCGATGAATTGTAAAAACAGTCAAATTAAGGTCTGTCTGGGAGTGGTATGACCGTGTAAACGACTTTTTGCATTTCTACGGTGGACCTTCATCTTCATTGTAATTTTGTGGCTCAAGCCAGTCTTTGTGGAGACAATTTAATTAACTTGGTCTAATAAATTTTATAAGGAAATCTTGTGATAGTTTCCGGCAGTCCTTCTCAAAAGACTTTCCAGGCTGATTTACGCGACACATATGAGAAGTGGGTACCAAGCAAGTAAATTTGTGTTTGTGCGATCAATGAGCTGTGAAAGTAACAAAAGTAACTTGTACGGGAAAGTTAAATATTAAGACGTTTAAACTGATATATCAGAATTGATTAATATGACACATACCAACCAGAGAAAAATATCAACTATGCAATCACCACAACCGTCTTAAAAAAGCGTTACAATTAACCGACAGAATTGACTGACCTTTCCTGGATTTACTTTCGTTGCCCTTAAACATGTTCTTGTCGGCTGTGGCTGGGGCAGTTTCTCTGAAGTCGATGACTGTTGCTTTCTTTAATGTTTGATTGTACACCAACATCACTCCCCCACCTCCTATCCCTGATGAGTGCATGCTGACCACACCCAAACAGAACATGGCGGCGATGGCAGCATCCACTGCGGAACCGTCAGCTTTGAGGGTCTCGTTTCCGATTTCGGAGCACTTTAGTGTATCCGTGGCAACGGCCCATTTATCGTAGACGCCAGATGATTCATCATCAGACGATTCATCAGAGGGGGAATCTCTTATTAAGAAATAAGTCAGAACACCAGTACCGGTCCCCAAAAGTGAAATCGCCCCCATAATCAGAAATATTACGATCTTCCTAAAAAGAAAAAAGTTAGATCAAATTATTGACCTGGATTTAGATCGTATTATAGCTAAACGCTGGCATTTGCCTCAGAAAGGAAACTGAGAGGTCACAATCTGTCACGAGAAATCGTATATCAATGATAAATAAAAGTTCTCATTTGGTGTCCAGTTGTGGCGCTCGAGTTGTGGCGCCCGCTCAGGGGGGCGGGAAGATGAGAGACCCTGGGGACGGGGTTGGGTTGCAACTTGCACAAAATAGGTCTGCAATATGTACATAGTCGGAAATGTAGTTTGAAAACCATCCTACAACTTGAAATAATACAGGAGAAAGGCTAATCCAAAAAAGTGCATCATAGATCAACGTTATAGATAATGAAGATGCAGGAGAGAAGATAAGTGTTGGAAACGTCATATGTCGTCTTTGTCACAACGATAACTTCAGGTGAATAAGATAACAGGCAAAGATGAAAAATAATGGAGTGAGAATTAACAAAAGATCAAAATAGTTATAAGTCTGTATGTCTGGTTGGCATTACTTTTCTTGCCTCTTTCTGCTATTCCTTGAGGTTGTCAATTTCTTGGCCTTTTTGCTTCTGGTTCCATGCCATTATACTTTTGTTTTCTTTCACTTTTTTGTTCACGGTCCATCATTATAATATACGTGGCTTAAAAATACACTTGATGCCACGTATATTATAATGATGTACTATGTAGAATTTTTATTGTTGTAAATATGTAGAAATCTTACATTAGTCTTCTTGTAATTAGTTAGGAATTTAGTTTTGGATACAATGAATATATGAAGTTCATATATTTTGAACTGCGTTATTAGATACGTATGATGCACGATCCTCGCAGTAAAGAGCGCTATTTGTGCAATAGCGAAAATCAGACCTGAAAAAGATCAGGCCTGTACGGGATTCGAACCACTGACCTCTGCGATACTAGTGCAGCGCTCTACCAATTGAGCTTTGAACCAATTGAATTTAGTTTTATTGTATTTAGTTAGGAATTTAGTTTTATTGTTTGTACACGACCACACCAGCTTTTGCTTAATTTTTTATAGTGTTTAAATAAATGCTGTTGTTGTTGTTGTTGTTATTGTTATTCAAAATTCAAGTTATTAATTCAAGTTTTAACAAAAAAAAATAATTTCGCGATCACTTTTTAGACAATGGCGTCATTAACGTATTTTACTGCATGCCAAGTCTTCACAAGGCCTGCGTTTTCGATCGTTCTTTGTTCTTCGGACGAGGAAAAAGGAGCAGGGTATCAGGGTGGTTAACTGTCCAACCGGAAACAAACTGATTTGAATTTACCCAATATCCATGCACTTTTCACTTGGCTAAGACAAAATTCACATTAAAAAATTCCGTGTAACTTACATAAAAAAAAGAACGGTAAAAAAAAATAATAAAAAAAAAAATAAAAAAATTGTTGAGGCGGATTCTTCAGCGTTTTCTTAATTCCTCATAGGTGTTCGATGTTCGACCATGTTCATGGGGGTTCGATTGTTCCTCAGGCCGGATCCACGGGTAACTTCGGAGTATGTACAGAGCTCGTACACCACTCGGAAAATCTTCGGAGTTGTTTTAAATTAAAAACAGTCCTTGAAAAATTCAGGGATCTTTGGGTAACTTCGAAAACCCTCAGATAATCTTTGGTTAATCTTCGGAGTATATCCGGAGCTCGTACGCTCTTCGGAAAGGTAAGGTAAGCTGGAAAACTCCTGCAAGGTCTGTTGAGGAGGACTGAGGGAGGCCTGTCTCTAACGGAAGAGCTTATCGCTTTCATTAAAAATTTTTATTTTCAATAAAAATATCAGATCTACAGCCACAGCATCAGACTTTTTCCCTGACC